GGCTCCAACATTAAACAGCAGCATATCAGAAGAACCACATGACCCACCTCAATCAGCAGACTGATGCTTAGCCTTGAGAAGGATGGACTGAAAAGAATATTTTGCACTTAATCAAAAAACACATCGGAGCTTAATTAAACACTGGTATAATGTATACAGCCAGCTTCTTCACAGTTACTTGCCTGTGCAAGAGTATGGTTAGTAGAGGTTCTCTTCCAACAATACGGTACCACCATATTGTTAAACTGGCTGGTTCAAATTGTGTTAGAAGTACATTTTTGGGTTTATACTGGGAGTTTATTTTTAATAATTTATTTTTAACTTTTTCTAATTATGTAACCTTAACATTTCACGTTAATGTATGTGTGGTGTCTTTAGAGCATTATTGACACTTTAGTTTGTTTGTTTTTCTTTGAACTAGTGTTTTGAACAGGAAACCGCCAGGATTTCAAAATGTTTCATTTCCATCATGTGATGAAAAAGTTATAAGCTTGCTGCATGCCTAACCTGGTGACAACAGCAGTCATTAAGGGACCAGGTTTTGAAATTTTGATCATGGTGCATTAATATGTCTTCTAAATAGCTGTGTATTTTTTTTTGCCAAACACGGTGGCTTTTTGTCTATTATTAATATTTAGTTAAAAGTACCATTACATATCGCATTACTTGCTTTCCATACTTTGTTAAACACCCTAACTTGAAAAAGTCATGATTAGTCTGAAATATGGTCTTGTTATGCTAAAAAGCATCCCTCGTTAGACCTTTGGGATATTAAACATTGTTTCATGTATTCAATATGGACTGATGCTGCGTAGTAATTTTATGGGGAATATGCCAGAAAACGTAGCAAGTTTGTTTGTTTTAATTGAGATAAATAGCTGGCAGCAGCCTTATAACACACAAATCCTGCTGTGAAATGTAATATTTAACCTGCAAAAGGAAAACTGAAGTTCTCAGAAGCTGGGTTTTTTTTTATCCTTATCACTCTCTATGAAAGGCATGCAGCAACATTACTATTTCAAGAGGGTTTAATATTTTGCCACACATTCTAAGTGCAGAATAAATATGGGATTTGAACAGAATCAATAAATGCTGTGTATGTCAACACTTCTGGGATCATCAGATGTTGAAGAACTACATTCAGCCACTCAACCAGAAGAAATGCTAAGAGCAAAAAGACCAGGTTTAAAAAAAAAAAAAAAAAAAAAAAAAATCTTAAACTGCATACATCTCTCCCACTGGATTCAAACAAATATGTTCAGATGAGATAAGGAGGAATTTTAGCAAGCAGTCTGATCATGTGCTATATGTAAATTTTGGCTCTACGCATCATCTAACTAAATACATTATTCCTATTTATTATGAATTTCTTCCAAGTTTCATCTTAATACAGAAATACCATAATTTTTTATGTTTAAGTACTGTACTATGATATCACTGATTGTGGAATCAGAGGCGAAACTATTCAGTTAGACCACTAATTTAAACAATTTTTGGTGGGCAGCCACTAACATACTACACTGTTAAACTTGTCCACTATAAAATAGGGAGGCAAAAACAATAAGCAGTAGATCCAGCAGTAAAAAAATACTACTTCTATCTTTAAGTAAAGCTGTTACTTTCAGTCTTGCAACTAGTTGCACTTTTTTGTGAAGTATTTTCAGCAGTTGATAATTCTTCAGCTGACACGTGAAAACATTATCCATCCTATAAATACGCATGTATAACACTTCTTGAAATTCTACTTCAGCAAATAATAATCAAAAAAAAAAATCCCCCCTTACTGATTTAAAAGTAATTTAACCCATGCTTGATTTGAAATGCATAATATGTCTTTCTCATTGTTATTTTCTGGGTATCTTACCATTCATTGGTGGTGATCTGGATTAAATCTCCATCAGTGTTTGCTCATTATTGATTAGTATAGGAGTTTTCAAGTGTATCCAAGTACTTCATTTATACTGCCAGATGTGAAGGAGCTGCAGGAAAAAAAATGCAAATTTTGATTTCACAACACATTCAGGATTTTAAATTACATAAATGTACAATATAATGGATATGAGAAGCTGGATAGAATTTTCTTCATATAACATTGCTAATGATGATTGTAAGATATAAATTAAATGTAGTGCAATATTTTTAAATATGTTGAATGGGGTGGGGGTGAAATAGTTGTATTTTAGTGATGAGAAGGAAAACAAAACTCCTATCTGGCATTAACTACAGCAAGCGCTGGCTCTTGAGGGAAAAGTTGTAATACTACATTCCTGATGTACTCTTTGCTTCCATGCTTGACTGTAAATAGCTGAAAATAAAGAATACCATAGAAAACAGAATCTTGACTTAGTGCTATCTAGATAGGTGGCAGCTACACACGTTTATGGAAATTCTGCCTGATATGATTTTGTTGGCTATGACTTTATCATAAGAACAAGCTTTAATAAAATAGTTTTGCTAAATTACCAACTTCTTTGCACTATGTTATATTTAATATATTTGCATTACAATAGTTTATCATCGAAGGTATAATAACTGTTTAGGGAGAAATACACAAATATGCCCAATGTAGCACAACTGCAAAAACACACCACTACAGCCAGTGTTTTATTGCACGTTGGAAGGAGAGAGAGGCGCAGCGGTACAGATGTACAAAACTGTGCCAGTTTTCAGCACACATCCCCGTGGATGGGCAGGGTGATATAGCACAGCCAGTTGGCTCTGTGCTGCTTGGGTGTACCGTCCAAAAGCTCTGTGATGAAGTAGTACCTGAGGTCAGTCACAGCAAGGCCCCGCATGTTTGTGTGTCTGGCCCTTGGCTTTTAAAGGAGGAGTCTGACCCCTGTGGGCGCTTCTACACAAGACGCTATTGCGCAGTGGTTACTGTGCATTTATTCAGTACTTGTATAATCAAGTACTAAATAAATGTGCAGTAACTAGGGTATAGGAGTTTTCAGGTGATTCCAAGTTACTGCACAGTAGTGCTGGCAAACGCCTTTTAAGTGATGCGACTTCACAGTAGCTGAATAATAATGTGTAGTAGTGTATTAGCACTGTTAGCGCTGTGACACACCACTGCGCAGTCAGCATTTCACGTAGATGTGTCCCATGTCTCTCCGTAGGAGTCCCACACCACCCAGTTGCTTTGATTTTTTTTTTTTTTTTTGTAGCAGTGCCAACTTAGTTTATATTATTTTTTTTCTTCCCCAAGAAAAATGTAAAAACAATCAGTGAGCAAGACCTTCCACCTTTTCTTCTTTGATGCAAGTTCCTGTGTTTCATTTTACAGAGGTAAATGTTATCTAAACCTTGTGAACTTTTAAGCAGTAAATTGGTTAATGCAATTATTGAGTAAGCAAATAACACTTCACTTAATTGTCAATATTGTCTGTTAATTGACATTTAAATGATCGTGTTGTAGCACATAAGCTTCCAAGGGATGAAAAAGATTCTTTAGATGCATCCATTAAAATGAGATTAGAAGAAAAAGATATTCCTAGTGCAAAGTCAGTCTTCGAAAGCACTGTATATCTACTGCTGAAGTCCTTCATACCATTTCAGGGGTCTGTTTCCCCCTCCCTCCACTGATATTTTCTCACAATTCCCATTTATTTACACATGTCCATTCAGAAGAGAATAGTCTATGTGCCACACTACGTCTGTCTGTATTATTTATTTCAATAGTTGACAAAAGTTTGGATCAGTACTCAGCAACAGATAATTTGGGAGATCTTGTTTTATATTAGCAGGTTATGTGCAGACAGCCTTTCTCCTTGAGGTAAAGTGTTTAATCCCACTAGTGGAAAGCATAGATCCACTACATGAATTAAGTGTTGTTTTCCTGTGGATTAGGTGAAGTCCATCATACCTTCTTTCCATTTAGCACAAAAGATTTGGTAACCTTTTATCACATTTTATTACAATTAAATCATGATGTATTTTAGGTTGTATTTTTTTTATTTTTCTGGCATCTGAATGCATAATTATCAACAAAGAGATACTTGAAGTTTGATCCACAGCATTTCAATACTTTCTGAGCATACTATATACACTTTACAAAACTATATGTAAACACAGAATATCTACGCTATGGTCCATAAAACATCTGCTGTTACATGAAGGCACATTAAGATTCAGTTACAAATAAACCAAAATGCACACAACACTGGATAAAAGTGCACGTTGTTTTTTGTTGAGCGTTTGTTTTACTTCTGAAGTTTCTTTTCCTTGGTGCAGATGCGTAGCTTGATTGTTTACTGCAGTACTTTCTTTCCATTAGATTTAGCTTCATCAAATGATAATTTGAGGTATTGGAAACAAATTGTCTGTTCCTTTTCCATTATTAAGTGTAATTTATATTTTGACTTAATTTTCAAACAGACGAAACATAAACATGTCTAGGTATCTAGCCAACTATCAGCCTGAAAATCGAATCTGCTCAAAGCAACTATGGATGTTTATCATCTTACTTGTAGGACTCATGAATGAATACTGTGATTCTGCAATATCAGCTATTTATTAAACACCTTAAATGAATGTGTAAGTATCTAAAATAAAGTTTCAGAGATATGACAAAATAAAAAATCTGAATATAAAAAGGTAAATCTTATACATCAACCTTCTTTAATATACACTAGCTCTGTTATTATTGTTCCACTCCTAAAATTAAATATGTATATTCATGAATTCTCCCACCAGTGTAACCGGCTCGTGGGTTCAAACTGTATTAAAAATCAAAGTAGTAAAAGAAATGTACTGACCTGTGTGAACACAAATGTTTGGAAAAAAGTGGGGTATTTTTTTCCTCCCTACCCAGCGCTCTCACTGTGCCACCAGTTTTGTAAGCAGAGCTTGACTCTGGAGTCAGCAACAAGAAATAAAAACCTGGCACTGTATGACCCCAACCTACGCAACATTGCCTCGTCATTCTAGTCTGCGTGTGCCTGAAGGAGCACACTAACCCTAAAAAGGATCGCGAGGGGATAGCTGTGTCATCCTCAAACTTTTTTTTTTTCCAATCTGTGGAATAAATTGAGTTTTACTGACTTGACTTTGCCCCACCAATGACTCTAAGCATAATATGAAGTTTTGTGTGAAAGTGTCCACAAGTGAACTTTAAAAAAACTATATTTATATAGATTTATACTACACATTTAATCAAAAATATACTGTATAATATTTAATAAAATTAAATACATGAAGTTTAACACTGTTTATACAAACCCCTATAAAAGCTTTTTATTTTCCCTCTTCATAAGGCAGCAGTCTGCTTTATAGCCATCAGAAATTAATAATATACCTTTGGTTTCTTGACTATTTCACCATTAAAAGTACAGTAAAACTAAAACATATTTCTGGATGAAATGTTTCACATGAAACACTGCTTTTTGAACACCAAAATACTGGGTATGGCTCTGGGTATCATTCATCACTTTCAGACTCTTCATCGTCACCACCTATGGGATAGGACTGGATGTTGTTCTGAGTGTACATTTTTGTTTTAACTGGACAGTTGTGATCCATGAGTATTGCCTAAAAGAAAACAGAGCATAGATAT